CCCCCCCCGCATTGAGGAGCCTGTGCTGACACTCTAGCACCATTCTGCTATCCCACCATGGGGCTAGAGCACACAAAATCTACTTGCTTGGGAGTCAGTGGCTTCCGGCCTGAAAAAGGTTCCCTGACCTGAACTAGGTGAATTCAAAACAAAGGTTTCTTTTAACACGTATTGCAACAGGCTTACTGGTTGAATTTCTGGGAGTCCGGCTCCCTCCCCTCAATCCAATGCTGCTGCTTTTTTCCTTAAGTGTTGTCAATGCTGTGAGTAGGGATTAAAGGGGAGAGAATTTGAGGTATCTAATCTTGTTCTTATATTTCTTTCTCGTCTGTGAGAAATATCTCCAGCTGAGAGTCAGGTAGCAGAGAGACTGAATAGATGGGAATCACAAGCTGTTTCTATGCCATGATAAAGATTTTTTTTTCACTAACAAAAACATAAGAAAGTACTCCTCCCCATAATATACAATTAACCTGTGGAACTCATTGCTATGGTATATTGTGAAGGTGAAAACTATAACACAGTTCAAAAAAAGGAGTAAATAAGTTCATGGAGGATAGGTCCATCAGTGCTGTTAGCTAAAATTCAGGGATGCAGTCCCATACTTTGGGTATCAGTAAGACTCTGGCTGCCAGAAGCTGGAATTAGATGGCAAGATGGATCGCTCAATAATTGTCCTATTTTGTTCATTCCCTCTGAATCATCTGGCACTGGCTACTGTAAGAACAAGATATTGGCCTAGAGGGTCATTGGCTGTACATATCATTTTAATAATTTTTTTTAATTGTAAGAAGATAAAAATAAGGTGTGGTTTTTTTGGGGGGGGGGTGTTATTAGTCTGATAGTTAAAGAAAGGTATATTGTGTTCTTGAAATGTTAGGGGATCTTCATTCTTACATTCTTTTGAATGTTACCTGGTATTAGGAAAAAAGGGACTAGAAGACCAATATAGCCAAATAACTAAGAGGTAAAGTCTACTTATCACTTGATAGGAATTTCCCTCATACCCTTCTAGTTCTCTTTGAACAAGATACTTCATTTGGATTCTATTCAAGTGCAAGAAGAAAGAGGGGAAAGTATAGCTGTAATCCTAATTGCTTCATAATCTAGCTACTTCCTAGTAATTTCTTCAGTTTTCTGCTATTTTATTCTAAAATATAGCAACAGTAGACTCCTACCTTTTTAGAATGGTACTTGAAAGTAAAAATTGTAGGTAAGACCATCAAAACATGGTAGGTTATCTAGTAAAGAAGTGTTTAAAAAAATCGTTAATGGTCAGGACATTTTTTTTTATATCGGAGCATCTCCCTTTATTGCTCAAAGTGAAATAAATAATTCCAATAAAATTCCAATGTTAATGCATAATCTCTCCTCTGTTTTCCAATAATTTTGAAACTATGTGCTTCTGTTTTAATAACGATCACTGTGACTTGCTTTTTTCTAAAGATTTCTAAATTCTCTAACACACTCCCCCATATCTTAATATTTTAGGTGTTTTGCTGGAAGTCTTCCAACAGTCCTATGAAGCAGTGTCGATGGGTCTATGGCCGTTCAGTCTTCATGTCTGATGTTGCTTTAAATAACAATGAAATAATGTTCGTCACACAGGATGGGGATGCATTTACAGGAAAGTGGGTGGAAGGAGGAAAAAAAGCTTCTGAAAAGAAAGGTTAGTTTATGCTTTTAAAGAGTACATGACAATATTTTATAACCCATTTCTAATTCAACAAATACCTATATTCCCAGTCTCTTTCTTCTCACACCTAACATTTGTAATTATTTTCGTGTTTTGATTTGGGAGAGGGAATTTTCTCTTCTTACTCAATCTCCCTGATGTATTAATAGTGTGTGATAGACTATCTCTACTTTCTCCACGATTAAAAGAAACTAGCGGGTTGTGCCCTCTGCTCTGTATGCTCACCAACAGCCTTCTTTCTCTCTGGCTGCTTTTGCTTTCGTGGCCAGAGAGCCTGAAGACATCATTCTTTTGTGCATCAGGAAAAACCTTTATTTATATACAGAGATAGGAGAGAGTTGGCACTTTTCAGTTAGTTTAGTTTTTGCTCTAATTTTTACCCTCTGCCATGTTCCGTTTAACTTGTTTGTAGAGACATGGTGCACAAGCTGTAGCTTGAATAACTCATGTTGAAAAGGTCCAATCTTCATGTCGGTGTTTCTCAAAAGCGGGCCATGGGCCCACCCAGTAAGCTGCTAGTGAGCCCACACAGCTTTACTTACCTAAAGTGTCTGTAGCCACGGAGCCTTGCAGCTCCCATTGGCTGTGGTTCACCGATTCCTGCAGCTCCCCTTGGTTGGAAATGGTGAACTGAAGCCAGTGGGAGCTGGGAGGTTCCATGGCTACAGAACCTTTTAGATAAACAAAACTATATGGGCCTGCCAGCAATTTACCCAGGAGGGCCTATGGCCTAATTTGAGAAACACTGGTTTATGTGAATATTAGTGAACCCGAAATATGCTGGATGTACAGCACTGGGAAATTAGGTTCTCTGTCAGTAAAATAATGATATAAGAAAGAAGAGGAGTGTATGCTTCTTCACACTGCCCTGTTTCATAGAGACTGCTTATAGAAAACTCTGGTCTTCTGAAGAAGTGAGCTGTGCCCATGAAAGCTCATGATACCATCTACATGTTTTGTTAGTCTATAAAGTGCTACTAGATCATTTGTTGTTTTTTAAGTTTATCCTGTACAGACTAACTCAGCTACCCCCTGAAGCTTATAAATCTGAAAGTTATTCAGTTCAGTCCTTGTATTCTTTGTTGCATCTGCTGACAAAGGGTCTCAGCTGTAGGAGATTTTTTGAAATGGGAAACATGTTTGATAGGCATTGTGTGAAAACATCAACTCTGCTCACATGGGCCAACTGAAAGTCCACAGATGTAACGATTTTGTCACCTCTAGTCTGGGAGGGTTTGGACTTTTATGGCCTATGGTTGAATGGCAGTATCACATTTCTGGACCTTAATGTTCAGTTTATCATTAAGTTTTAAGCTTCCACTCTTATATTCCTTCATAGCAAGGTGTTCCCGTTCCCTCTCAAAACACTGAGTTAGCCCATCAGTTTTCCTGTTTTGCTTGTCTGCTTTCCAAGAAGGTCTCCTGTCATGGTAATTCTTCCTCCATCATCTCAGGTCTCCTAGCCCTGTAAAGTGTGAGAACACAGGAATCTGTTTAATTTGGACCTCCCACATGGCAGTGTATGATACACTTGTAGACTCCTAGACTAGTCTTAAAATGCTATAATGCATTAAAATGTTTTCATTCCTGAAAGATATTGAATCAAAGGCCTTTGTAGTCTTGAGTTAACTCTTGCTGTCCTTGTTCTGGACTGGGGACATCATAAATGTTTTGGATCAGCAGAAATATCTTTTTGTTTATTATTTGTGTTCTGTGCTTTAGGACTACAATTTAAGAAGCACAGAATTTTAATATCTCTTTAAGAAAGCACAAATGGAATGAATTATCTTTAGTAATACTTCCTGATGTTCATTATTCAGAATTCACTTGCCACAAAGTTATAATGAATACAATTATTTCTATTTTTGAAGTTTTCGAAGGTGAAGATTTATCATGAATATATGAACGGGGCATTCTGTGCATTATATCTTGCTAGTGTTGTAACTGAAGTACAGCAGAAAAAGCTATACCATCTTATGTTACAGATCAGTTTCAGCAGCGGCTGAATAGGGGTGCCTGGGGCAGAGCAGCTGGGGTGCTGCTGTGTTGGTCCCGTAGCACCGCCCCTCGGCACTGCGGGACCAATCCAGCAGCACTCCGGCTGCTCTGCTCCAGGCGTCCCGAAGAGCAGCTGGGATGCTGCCGGGTTGGTCCCGCAGCTCGAGCCCCCCCCCCGCGGCTCTGCCCCCAGCTACCCCGATTCAGCTGCTGGTCAGTTTCAGCAGTGACTGAATCGGGGAAGCCAGGTGCGGAGCAGCTCCAATTGTCCGGCTGCCCTGAGCACTTCCGGGTTCCTGATGGTGCCGGACCATCAGGAGTGCTAGAGCATTGGATGCTGGACTAATGGAGTTTTACTGTATTAAGATTATGGCTCAGATTTGTGAAGCTTTGGATGTTGCTATGCTTAGCAGTGCAACACCCTAGTCTCATTTTCAAAAGGGATACTTTGTCTCTTAAATGCCTTCAGAAAATAATATAGGCTTCTAAATCAGTTAGGGTTTGCAATGCTGATTAAATACCTTTAAATATTTAAATTTATCTCTTTAGGCATGCAGTTTCTGATTGCAGTCAACATTATTTGGGCCAAAGTCTTCAATCTCATCTCTGTTACAGCTTTGTTGACTCCAGCTAATTGGGCTTACATCAGTAATTAACTTTGTTCTGTGTTTTGTCAGTTAAATCTTAGTTAACTCTTCCATATTTTCCCATTATCTCTTTAACAGAGGTTGTATCAAGCCTTCAGAATTCCTCATACGAAGTGTCTTGTCACTGTGATACAAACAGTGTATATGAAAGAATTCGACTCGAGAAGCTTGCTTTTGTCCACAGAGCGGTTAGTGTTACCACAGATCCTAACGGATGTAACTTTGCTGTTTTACAATCAGATCCTAAAACAAGGTATATTTCAGATATCTGCGGTTGTAACTTCAGTTGTTGAAAGTACAGAGAGGGAGTGGGTGTAAAGCATTTTCCTGTTCCATTAACAATCTTGTTCTGTCTTAATTGTCAATCAAAATTTCTGCTTTATAAATGTCCATCTTTGCTCCTCCAAAGATCATAGTAAATATGATTATCTTGTCTTAGTACTTGTTTGTAGACAACTATGTTGAGATTGTTTATTCCAAAAGCCTTCCATTAGGACATGTCTCTACTAGAACTGCTGCAGTGTAGACATATACAGTACTACAGCAATGGTCTCCAACCTTTTTAACCACAAGAACACTTTTTCAGTTTAAGTGCAATGTAAAATCTACCTCAAAGCCAAATACCCTTGCCCCACTTCCTTCCCACCCCTTCTTTGAGGCCTCATCCTGCTCACTCTATCCCCCTTTTTCCCGAACCTCATTCGCTTTCACCAGGCTGGGATAGGGGTGCAGGCTCTGGTCTTGGGCCAAGAGTTAGGAGTGTGGGAAGGGCTCTGGCCTTAGCCCAAGATGGGGAATTGGGCCCAGAAGGGGTTTGAGGGTGCAAGCTCTGGGAAGGCGTTTGGATGTAGGGGAACTCACATCTGGGCAGGAGGTTGGGTGTAGAAGGAGGTTCAGTGCTGGTACAGGGGTTCAGGAAGCAGGCTCTGGCTGGACACCATTAACGGAGACAACTTCTGGGTGTTGGAACAATGGATTTAAGGCGGCCTTACTCCTGCCTTGGCCATGCACCACTCCTGAAAGCAGCTGGCATGTACAACAGTGGCTGCATGGTGCCATGTGCTGCCCCTCATTTATAAGCATTGAGCCCACAGTTCCTACTAGTCACAGTTCCCCATTCTTGATCAATGGGAGCTGCAGGAGTGGTGTCTGCAGGCAAGGACAGTATGTGGAGACCCCCTGTTCTGCCTCTCTCAGGTCATGCATTTTAGAACTCACTACTCAAGGAATTAAATTTAAGCGTAAGAGTGAAATGAAAATTATGAAGTGTACAGACCAGCCAAACCAAAAAGTAACACACTTTGCAAGCAGTAAAAGTAACAACAAGCCTCCCCATGTGCTGGGTCTGGAGATGAGTGAGGGACAGAGTGTGTTTGTGAGTGACAGAGAGACACACAGCATGTGAGAGTGACAGAGATTTGCATTGCCAAGCATCCATCATCTTCTGTGTGGAGATAGGTACAGACGAGGGGGGAGGAAGGACACCCTGACATCAGTGCTCCCCCCCACACCCTGCACAACAAACAGGAGGCTCCCAGGGGGGCAGCCCCAAGGCAAAGGACAGGAGCAGCATGACAGTGGGTGGGACGGCAACTGAAGTGTCAGCACTTGATAGCTTCCTAGCCAAACCAGTCAGGATCACCTGTCAGAGGCTCCAAGATCTACTAGTAGATCCCGATCTACTGGTTGGTGACTACTGTGCTACAGTGATAGAAGGGTTCTTTTGTTGCTTGAGTGAATCTACATCTCTTAAGATGGCAGCAACTAGGTTGACAGAAGAATTCTCCCATTGGTCTAGCTACAGTGTACATGGTGTTCAAGTCAGTGTCTCAAATATGCAATTCGGCACCCCCCCCCTCCGGTCTCTGAGTGATATAGATAGGCCTAATGGGTGTAGACCAGCCCTTAATCTGCCAAAGGTAAAATATTCAAGCCAAATTCTTATAATAAAGTCCACCTTAAAAGCTACCTTTATAATGTACTTCAACATCTAATGTACTTGAGGTATCATAGAATCCTTCTTAACATGTAGTCTCCATGTGCTCAGAGATGTCCTGTAGTACAGTAAAACTCCGGTGGTCCGGCATCCAGTGGTCCGGTACGCCTGATGGTCCGGCACCAACTGCAACCCGGAAGTGCTCCAGCAGCTGCTTCAAGTTGTTAGAGTAATTGATTAACTGCGGCTGGATCCACAGCCGACACGCAGTTAATGTAACTTTCCTCTGTACTGCCGGGAGGTGGGGGGCAGGGGAAGGTAGGGGTCGGTGGGAGAGGGGGAGGGGGAGGAGGAAGGGGTGAGGGTGTGCCAAAGCAGCCTCATTCAGGACGTTCTGGTCAGTTACAGTCACTCCGGCTGGATCCACAGCCAACACGCAGTTAATGTAACTTTCCTCTCTACTGCCGGGAGGGAGGGGCAGTGGGAACGGGTAGATCCGCAGGTGACAGGCTGCTGCTGAAACTCACAAGAGATCACTTTTACCAGTAGACCGATAGTCCAGGATCAAAAGATCCAG